GGCCCTTTAACCCAGATGTAAGTGTACTCTGAACGTCCCTAGCCAGAGGCCCAAAGCCACAGGGCTAGAACCGCCCAGTCTCAGAAGTGTCTCTGACATCACTGCTTTCTTGATGCAGGAGAGGCAGTCGACTGTGCCACCCTGAGTTGACGGTCAACAGACCTCCCTGGGGACCTCTGTGCGGACTCGCTCCTCAGCCAGACAGCTGTGCTCCTCGGTGGCTGTATTTTCTCTGCGTACAAATTTGGACATGATGGTTTATAAGACATGCTCTATTAAAAAATATTTTTAGTTTATTTTTTTAATTTTTTTCATTCCTTCCCTCCCCCATAGAGGATTCCTCTAAACCCTGATTTGGTCCCACCGCTTAGAGCTCAGAATGCCACAACCCGGCATAAAACTGAAGGCTGTGGACTGAGTCATAGCATGATGGTAAGGCCCTGGATCCTACATGGCCAAGAGCATGGTTTAGTTCCCGACCTGGCAGCTAGAAAAACACACCAGACACATCTGCATGCCCAAAATCCTGAAAGGAGGGAGAAACGGAGGGGAAGGATTGAGACACAACCACCCCCGAAGGGAATGCTTTCTCTTCCCCCTCTCTGCCCTTTGTCTGCTTCTCTGTGGTGGTGAGCAAATGCACTCGCTGGCCAAATTTAGGAAAACAAAACCAAACAGAAAAACCTGCATGTTTTCCAACTCGTCCCATAACTTGAACATATCCCTTTAGAATCACAGCTTTGATGCTAGTGTGATTCGGTCCTTAGACGGTGAATGTGTTCTGAGCAAACTCATAACTACTGAGCACCCTGACTTCGGGCATTATGCTGGAAGCTGGGCACTGAGAAAGCACACATAATACAAATCCTTCAGCGTGTATTCACCTACGGAGCCAATATGAGAAACAACCAGGCATTAATATAAATCAGATAGAACACAGGAGAAATTGTACCTAGAAGCTATTTCAGGGGCCGGTAGGAGGCATGGTAGTTAAGGCACCGGACTATCACATGGCCGACTGCAGTTCGAGTGCTGGACCTGGTGGCTTATTTTCTCACTCTGTCTCTGTCTCTAATAAACCCACACGCCCTGTAGCAAATTTTAAAAATAACCATAAATAAAATAAATTGTTCTAAAACTAAAGAGAGAAAAAAAGAAAAAGAAGCTAATTCAGACCCCAGGGCATTTGGTTTAAGGTATATTCTCTACATTGCCAGCAGACTCTGTTTTACTTAGTCAGATAAGTCTGGGCATACCAAACAGTTATATTTTCAGTTGTCATTGTCAACTCAACATGCAGGAGGCGGCCAGCTTTTAAAAATTGGGTTTCCTCAGGAGCCTTGATCTGATGTGACACCAATGTTCCTTTCACAATGCACAGTTTGAAAGCCAAGAAGGAAAACCATTGTCTCTGCTATCTCGTTTACACCTATGGATAAGCTCCATCGTGCCTGGAAGGGTTGAAAGTGGCTGTTAGTTCACAACCCGGGACTTCAGCTCTGCTGATGGCTTCAGAGGTGCAGATGTGGGAAAATAATGAAGCATCCTATGAAGAGCTACTACAGAAACCACAGAACTTTCTTCAGCAACCAAGGGGACTCTGGAGGGCCAGCCAGATTGGTAAGATGTGTTGTCGGAGAGCTTTTTTTTTTTTTTTTTTGGAGATGCTTTTGTAAAGGGGGCGTGCACCTGCC